AAAAAATTTATTTTTATTACAATATTTTCTCCATGTTTATTCTTATTCTGGTACAGAGTAATTTTTTCCAAAAAATTATAGCAACACTGTACATAAGACATATACTCCGTATACAACTTAAATTGGATCTACTCATATTTTGATTAAAATTGCCACATCATTCAATCGTTAATAGGTGGTCGGTGATCTGTTAAAATGTTGCCATGTAGAATCCTCACTTCTCGCAATTCTAGGAGATTAACTCTCAAATTTAATATGTAAAGATTCAGAAATATTTACCAAACTTTTAATTTCATATTTTCCACATCAAAATCTATGTGACATATTAGGTGTTAAAAAGAGGCTCATGAGTAAGCCACATGTCAGTTCTTAATTACCCGAGTCTCATTTTTATACATTTAGGATTTAGGATAGGAAAAGATAAAAAAATTGCATATTTTTCCTAATTTTTTTATGTTCATTATATTTATATATTTGGCTAATTTAAACATATTCTGCTTGTATGAGAATAATATTAAATATAAACTAATCATTATTAAAATTGTACATTTTTCCTAAAAAAATTACTTTTTAAAATCTGCACTAAGTTAAAATTTATACTGAAAAAATATATTTTAAATTAACTAATCATCTATTTGTGTTCAACTTTTTCTTCTTTCTAAAGAACACTTTGATCTAGTTTTTAAATATTATATTAAATGTATGTGAAATTAATATATAGGTGAAGTGTGTATCTTATCTACCATTATAAGTTACGTTGTAAATGAAAAGAAAATTATATTCGTTTTAAGTTCAGTAGTCAATATAATTTTTGAAGAAATATGTGAAATTTTATTCGTTACGGAGTATTTTTTTATATTAAATAAAGTTATTATAATAATAATTAGATCAAAATTTTATTACTAAATGTTAAAAGTTCTTATTTTTAATTTGTTTTAGTTTGTTTTGATTTATTTTTGTTTTCTATAAAAATGATTTAATATCCTTTTTATTCAATAGACTAATTTTTAAGCTTAATTGGAGTCCGAGCAAAATATTATGGTAAAAATTTTACTGAAAATTTTGTTAGTTAAAAAAAGAAACTTTTCTTTTTTCCATTAATAATTTTTATTTTATGCAATATTAATTTATGTTTCACTAATTTTATTAAGTTACATAATTTCTTTTATTATATCATAAATTAGTCGAAGGAAAGTTCGATTCAATTCTCTTGATGACATGGCTGATTAGGTGTCAAAAAACATTCCAGTCATCACGCCAAATGTCGCAATTCTGAGAGTCCAACTCTCAAATATTATATATAAAGGATTTATGTGTTTTTATTGATTATTTGACGAAATAAAATATAATTATCGCCTCCTGTTTTGTAAAACATTTGATATACTTTTTAACTATGTAAGTTTTATTTTTTATATATACCAATCATTAAATAAAATGAATTTGAAAAAATTTGAAATTTTACTTTGTTATGCGTAAAGTGTAAATCATANCAACTCTCAAATATTATATATAAAGGATTTTAAAGATGGACTGATGGACAATATTGGCCTTCCTATTAATTCCCATCTTCATTTTACCCCATCCCATAATGTTTATCACTTAACCCCCATTCCTCCCATCTATTAGTACTTTTTTATTTTTTTGAAAAAAAAATTGTATAATCTCTTTATTCTAAAACTAAAATCTAACTTTAGATTTTAATAGTTGATTGAATTTATTTTTAAATTTTAATTTATTTAAATAGCATTTTGATATTACAAAATAAAAATTATGTAATTAAAAATTATATACACAGACTATGTTTTATTCAACTTATATTTTTTGTAGTTTACTTATTTTTCTCAGATCAAATCATGAGATTAGATCTATCTTGATTATATCAATCTAGAAAAATATTAAAAATTAATGTTTCTCTATAATATTGTCTATGATAAAATAATACTTTTTATACGATTAAATGAAGTTACATTTTTAATGTTACGTACAATTAAATATCAATTACTATTCTAATACTTCCTCTGTCCCAAAAAGTTTTGCACATTTTGACTAAAGTGGAAATTAAGGGAGGGATAATTTTGTGTTGACTTTCCAAAAAAAACCTTGATTTGATGTCTAAAAGTAGGATGTGATGTGTAGATTATAAGGAAAAAGGTATGATGTGATATGCAGAGTTTGAAAAAGTAAGGGGTAAAAGTGGGTTTTTAATAGAAATGGGTAGGAGATTGTGGGACGCAATTTTTTTTGAAAGGTGTAAATCTTTTTGGGACGGAGGGAGTATTATTTACAGTTAATATAATAATAATAATACATATGATTAAATATTACTTACTTTCTCTGTCACAGAGTCTTTGTCTAGTTTAAACTTTTTGTAGTCAATCGAAATAATACTTGCATTATTGTCACTCCCTCCGTCCCCAATTTGATTACAATTTTTTTTCCTCTTATCTCGATAACTTTTGTTTGTTTACGCAATTTCAATAACTATATGATAAAATAAAATATTCTTGTCACCTCTTGTTTTGTAAAACTTTTGACGTATTAATATGTAATTTTTATTTCTTATCGATATACCAATTTGTAAATAAAATGATTTCAAAAAGTGAGATATTTATTCTCGTAACCATAATTTGTAGACGGAGGGAGTATAATAATAATAATAATAATAATAATAATAATAATTATAATAATAATAATAATAATAATAACACTCTTCGCGTCGTATTAAAACCATCCATTTTATCTTTTTGGGAATTAAAAAAATTTTAGGAATGATATTGAAAAAATGTTAAAGATTAAAAAGTAAATGATCGATGTTTTTAGAAGAGAGCAAAATATATTGGGACTATATATGTACTCTAAAAAAAGAAAGATAAAGAGTGATCAATTTTTTCGGGCATATATAAATAAAAGATTATGTAATTTCATAGACTAAATAAACCTAGAATAAATGCTATTTGTTGTCTTATACTACATCTGTCCTTGAGTATTTATCCAGTTTTGAATTCTTCTATCAATCATGATTGACTTTTAACTTATAATTAAATAAAAATTACATGATATATTAATTTAATTAAATAATATTTTTAAGATATTTAATAAGATGAATTTTATTAAAATATTCTTGTATCAATATCTAATATAAATTTTATACGGGATAGAATCAATGGTCAAATTTTATCAATTTTGGTTGAAATAAATCAAAACGGGATAATTAGTAATGGAGAGAGGTAGTATATTGATGAATTAATTAATACTCCCTCCGTCCCCCTAAGATGTTCTCATTTTGACTTTTGGTAGTTTTTAAGAAGAGTTGAAAAAAGGTGAAAGTTTACCATAATATCCTTAATGAAAATGGGTGGAGTGTATTAAATGAGGTGAGTGAGGTGTAATAAATAAAGTAAGTGTGGGTAATTGTGGTATTTTAATTGTTAAAAAATTAAATGAGAAGATCTATTGTGGACAAAGAAAAAGTGCTATTGGGAAGATCTATGAAGGACGGAGGGAACAAGAAGCGAGAACCACTCGCATAGTCGCATGCCAAAAAGAGCTCAAGAGCTAACATAACTATTAAAGGGCAATACTGTCCCATGGAAAATGCTTGGTTCACAAATTCAAGCTTCACAAATTTCACAAACTTACCATTTGTGAACTTCAATAAAGAAAATTAAATAATCTAAAATAATTTTAAAATGATAATTTAAACCATAAATAGTAAGTTTGTGAAATTTGTGATCCTTTTGTTTGTGAACGTAGCATTACCCTTGTCCCATTGGTGTAAAAATAAAAAATGTGGAGCGCCACAAGCAAACTTTGGAGCGCAGATATCATTGGCCTTTTTGAGCGAATAGAAATTAGTCTGAGAGAGATCATCCAATCAACTCAGAAACAGATCGAAGAACTACATACTCTTTGAATCTTTGATCATCCTCTTTTTCTAGAAGTTAGTCTTTTCATTTTACTTTCATCCTATTCCTAAATCTAAAAACAAATTTTTTCCAAGAAGTATAAAATGTATGTCCGTTGGATACCCATATGGTACCAAAGGTTGGCAGTTTATAATCTCGAAACACACAAATTTTTTCATACACGAGAAATTTCGTTTGACGAGTCTATTTTTTCTTTTGCTCCTGAACTTCCGATGTGGAATGACACTCTAACACTCCCCTTCAAGTGGACAACCGGGCCATTTTGAATCTAATCGGTTGACCACTTGCAAATAAACTCCCATTCCCTTGAATTTGTTTTGAGCGCCAACACCTAAAAGACCACAAGCCGCTGGGTATGCACTTCTAGACGAGCAATCGTGTTTACGGGTCACAGGCCATTGGGTACATACTCTATACAGACAACTAGACTAAAGACTAACGGATCACTAGGAATGAACGTCTAGACGGACACCTTGACAAACGAGGTGGCCAAAATCTGCTCTGATACCATGATAGAAATTTAGGATGGAGTATGGAATACTGGATTGGGTAATAAGACACTTCGGTTGAATCACATTAACAGATTGAATCCAATAAATTAGTTAGTTCAACTTAAGAGCTTATATACCGATTTTTTTGCTCTTAAACTTCCGATGTGGGATGACACTCTTATATTTATGAAGCCAGTGTCTTTTTGCAATATATACCGTACAACCGGTTGCATGATGTTACCTGTACATCCACGGCGAGTGTTCATTTACGAGTAACTGAATGCTCATTTTTAACAAGTGAATAATCATTCTCGAGTAACTGAATACTTATTTTTTTAAAATGCAGTTGTGTTGAAAAATGAGCATTCAGATCCTCAAAAATGAATATTCTGTCTTAATTATTCGACTATGAATATTCATGCAGATGTACGTGAAATACATTCGGATGTATAATATAGGTACTCGTGTCCTATTGGTTAAAATACCATTTGCCCAATTTGTCTTATCCACTGTTTGTTTCGTCCGTCCAATTTCGGATTTCCGCTCAATTGCCTTATCCTCAATCAGTCTCGTCCTTCCAGCTAAATTAGCCCTCAATCGCTATCGCCGACCTCGCCCAAGGACATCTCTTCCGGTCAAAACCCAATCTCAATACAGTTTGACCTCCACATAGACGAGCCCGGGAAGCCTCGCAATCAGACTGCAGAACGCACTATTTCCGTAGTGATGCAGCCCTCGCAATCTTCTACTCTTTCTCTGCCTCTCATTCTCGCAGTTAATCTTCCAGTTACTACCATTTTTGTTTGTGTTTAGGGCAAACTGTGGAATGTAAGCTGATTGTGTTAAGGCAAAGAGGCAAACTTTGCCAATTTTTCTTGTTGCTGCCATTTTGTTAGTGGATGAATTATCCTTCTACCATATTTATATTGAATTTGGCATCATTTGTGGGATGATTTTGCCGTTTTACATCTCTTTGGGATATTCTATTGATCCAATTCGATATTTCAGATAGCAGGATGTTGGATATCCAAATATTTCCAGATCATGTTACTTGATCCGAAACTTTCGGATATACAAAATATCGGATCGGATCGATCCAATTGAACATGCCACTCCAATCATACTTTCTTCGGTTAATTTACCTAAATAGGACTAAAACATAATGACTTTATATGTTTTTATTTCCTAATGTAGTACATTGGTCATTATCTATTAGTCATTATTCAACTAAATGTCTAGCATCATTTGGACATTATTCTTCTCACTAGTCATTATTAAGTACTATTTTGAGAAATAAAAAAATTTAAGTCCTACATTGGAAAATCAGTTATACTTTAGTCTTATTCCGTGCAAATTTCACTAGTAGAAATTTGGTCTCTAACTACTTTTGAGAGTATTCTAATTTTAATGAGTTGTTGCAGTGGAGATCAAGATATATCTGTTCCCGTCATAGAGACTCGAAAATATACAAACATGCTTGCAAAATACTTAAAGCTCATCCGTTTGCGAAAGAATAGACCCTGGTACAATGGCCCTCAGGTAATGCCTACCACATTTTGCTAGTGTGATTGGTGCCATGTTTATTTTTTAGTCTATTTGTATGTACTCCGTATATCATATCATCTTCCTCAACCTTTAAAATTGTTTACTTCTTTCAACTATGAACAAACCGCCCATTCAATTTCCATATTGAAGAAAACTTCGTGATAGGGATGGGTTAGTAATTTGAAACTCATCTAAAATGTTTTTTGTCTTGTCGATAAAGAGAGGGGAATTCATGTAACCCTAATGGGTTAGAGGTGTATAACGGTAGCACTCAACTCGCATAGTCATACCATGAAGGTTAATAAGCTGGGTTGCCGCCAAATTGGTATGGAGATATATAATTTCTTTTTTTACTAAAACAATTTTAAACCATTTAGGCTTCATTCCATTTGCCTGATCTGATTAGATTTTCTAAATTTCTGATCTGATCTGATTGGATATGATCTAATCTTGTCTGATCTCATCTGGTCTGATCTGATTTGATTTGATCTAATAGAAAGTTGATTAAAATTAAAATTAAAATTATTATAATAATTAGTAATAATAATAAGAAAGTAATAAGAATAGTAATAATGATAACTATAATAATAATAATAGTAATAGTAATAATAATAGAAATAATAATAACAATAATGATAATAGAAATAATATTCATCATAATAATAATAGTAATAATAATAATAGTATTAATAATAATAGTAGTAGTATTAATAAATTCAAATTAAATTAGAATTAAAATTTTTATTATTATAATTATTCCCTCCATCCCCAATTCGATTACAAATTGGGGTTTACGAGGAGAAATATTTCACTTTTTGAAATTATTTTATTTACAAATCAGTATATTGACAAGAAATAAAAATTACAAATTAAAAAGCTACGTCAAAAGTTCTACAAAACAAGAGGTGACAAAAATATTTTGTTTTATCAAATACTTAATGAAATCGCGTAAACAAACAAAAATTATCAGGAAGAGAGAAAAAAAAATTGTAATCAAATTGGGGACAGAGGGAGTATAATAATAGTGATAATTATAATATTAATAGTAAAAATTATTATCATAATAATAGTAATAGAAATATTAATAATAATAATAGTAATAATAATAGTTTTAATAATCGTAGTAATTATAATGATAATATTAATATTGATATTGATATTAATAGTAATAATTAGAAATAATAATAATAATAATAATAATAATAGAAATAATAATAATAGTAGTAATAATAATAGCAATAATATTAGTTATAATAATAATTATAGTAATAATAATATTAATATTAATAGTAATAATAATAATTATAATCATAATGATAATAGTAACAGGAATAATAATAGTAATAGTAATAATAATAGTAATAATAATTATAAATATAATAACATTAAATTTGTATAGATTTAATTTGATTGGACTTGATCTGGTTTCGTGTGACTTGATCTGATTGGATTTGATCTGATTGGATCTTATCTGATGTGATCTCGTTTGAATAGATTTGATCTGATCTGATTTGATTTTAATAAGAATAACTAATAAGCAGAAAAAATAAGTTGAGTGGAACGCTGCCTTACTCAATCTATCAATGGCACTCAACTCGCATAGATAAAAGTTTAATATTTCAAACGTATGTTTCAAAATTAACTGATCGATATTAAATTTATATAATAGTTCATTGTATTGTTTTTGTAATTTGTGGTCAAAGCTTAAAAATGTTGGTCATGAAAAGTTGATGAAAAAACAAAATGGACAAAGGTATTATAGAGTAATACAAAACCCTAAAGCATTTCAAAATATTTCAAGTTTCATCAAACCAAAAGTGTGAAAGCTAAATCACTAAAGATTCGAAAGCAACATCCTTGGGTTCATGCCCCAATCATAAATCCATGAATTCATGAGTAATAATCATATAAAATCAGAAAATGCACAACCGTGTATCCCCTCGTTCTTAATGCTCAAAGGGATTGGTGCCAACTTCATTTCTATTCCTAGTTGTGTGTAACATATACAAAACTACACTCTAAACTGTGAAGCTAATAATAAAACATGGAATTAAATACCAAGATACATATGCACATACATATATATGTTCAACAAACGTTACGTCATGTATAATAATGTATAATAATCATAACGATTGTACGTGGTACCTAAGGGTCATAAATTACCACAATTACTCAAGCTCGTACTCTGCCGGTGACTAAGGCCAATTTTCTCAACACTATCTAAGACTAATAGTTCTTAATGGGTTTGATTTCGGTTAGCGTAGTGCTTACAGCGCCCGTCGGGTGGAATGCCTGATCGTATCGGTCAGATCACTAGTCCCCATTGCGTACACTTTTTCTCATATGTTGGACCAAGGCCACCTCTGTTGAACTACAATTTCCACTCCGTCATATCACATTCTCAATTATGGTGGATCCAAGGCAACCTCTTTGGAGTCATCTTGGTTTTTTCTATATTTCTTCTAAGTGAGCTGGGCAGTCCGAGGCGTCTCGTGACTTTGGGTATTGCCGGCGCATTTGCCTGGAAGAGGTGGCTCAGGCTCTTCGCGGGATGCGTAATGGGAGAGCTTTGGGACCAGATGAGATTCCGATGGAGTTTTGGAAGCATGCGGGTCGTGGTGGGTGGGTTTGGTTAACCAAACTCTTTAATGTTATCTTCCGGACAGCTAGGATGCCTGATGAGTGGAGGGAGAGTCTCTTGGTCCCTCTGTTTAAAGGTAAGGGTGACATTCAGAGCTGCGAGAATTACAGAGGCATCAAACTGCTTAGCCACACCACGAAGGTTTGGGAGCGAGTCATTGAGTATAGGGAGCGGAAAGGGGTATGCATTTCTGAGAACCAGTTTTGTTTCATGCCTGGCAGAATTCACCTCGTGCGGAGGTTAATGGAAGAGTATAGGGCTAGGAAGAAGGACCTTCATATGGTGTTTATTGATCTTGAGAAGGCGTACGATAGGGTGCCAAGGGAGGTTTTATGGAGGTGCCTTGAGTCGAGAGGAGTTCCCATCGCGTACACTCGCGCGATCAAGGATATGTACAATGGGGCTAAGACTAGGGTAACGACCTCCGGGGCGACTCTGAGTCATTCTCGGTAGGGATGGGGTTGCACCAGGGGTCTACCCTTAGCCCTTTTTTGTTCGCCTTGGTGATGGACGTCTTGACACAAGGTGTTCAAGAAGGGGTCCCATGGTGCATGCTTTTTGCGGAAGATATTGTGCTTATCGACGACACGCGTGAGGGACTAAACGATAAGTTGGAACTATGGTGCCTTGCCCTTGAGACCAAAGGATTCAGAATAAGTAAGAATAAGGCTGAATACATGGAATGTCGTTTCAGCAGTTGGGAAATGGAATCAGAAGTGGAAGTTAGGATTGACTCTCACCTAGTGCCTAAGGTAGACAAGTTTCGATATCTTGGCTCGGTAATTCAGGCTGATGGGGAGTTAGACGGGGATGTTGGACATCGTGTTGGAGTGGCTTGGGCCAAATGGCAGTTGGCTTCAGGGGTGTTGTGTGATCCGAAGATTTCGCCCAAGATGAAAAGTAAGTTCTACCGGTCCGTAGTCAGACCTGCTATGTTATATGGGGCAGAATGTTGGGCGGTTAAGAAGACTCATGTGCGTCGTCTACATGCGGCGGAGATGCGGATGTTACGATGGATGTGTGGGAAACAAGGTTGGATAGGATTTCGAACGATTTTATCCGACATCAGTTAGGCATGGCGCCGGTGGAAGAGAAGTTGCAGGAAGCGAGGTTGAGATGATTTGGTCATGTGAGACGGCGGAATGCTGACGCCCCTGTACGGAGATGCGAGAGGATTACAGTTGTCGGGGGAAGTAGGGGAAGGGGTAGACCTAGGCAGAATTGGAAAGAGGTGATTAGGCAGGATTTAGGACTTCTCTCCCTGACTGAGGATATGACTTTATATAGGAACCTTTGGAAAACTAGGATTAGAGTAGCTGGATAGAAGCCCGGTGCTTCAGAGGTTTTTTGTAGTGTGTTTTGTTTGGTTGGAAATTTTTGATATTGCTTGCGGGACTTTCATTCCATTGTACTTGGTGCTTTATCTGTGTTATACTGTGATTCTTATCACATTTTTTGTGCAGTTGGAGCCGGGGGTCTTTTGGAAACAGCCTCCCTATTTCCGAGTAGGGGCAATGTCAGCGTACATACACCCTCCCCAGACCCTACTGTAGTGGGATTCAACTGGGTTGTTGTTGTTGTTTGTGTACACATGTGTATGATATTTAGATGTTTTATACATTGATAATTTAACGTAGCGAATTTAATACATATTTCATTTACTAATTTTTAATATCACATTTTTACAGAAAAATATGAAATTTATAGATATATTTTATATAAGAATCTACGAGCCCGTGCGAAGCACGATGTAAAAACTAGTTCTGCTTTTAAATTTAAGTATCCACCTCTTTTTTATTGCATTATGTCATTGTATTTTAAACTTAATATTAATTAAATATTTATTTTATATTTTTAGTTTAAATAATTTTAGTTAATACTTGCTTTAGTCCATGGAAGTGCACTCACAAGTCAATTCCCCTGTAACTTTGGTTTAGTCAAATTAGTCCTTGTAACTAAAAAATGTAAATCAAATCTGTCCTTTATACAAAATTTATATTCTAAAATTATAAGTTAACACGTTAATTAATACAAAACTAATACATTGGGTCATTGCTCTTTCGTCAATTAACGTGATAACTCAATTTTAGGAGAGAAATTATGTTCAGGTGACTAAGGCCCTGATCCGTTCAACTTATTTTTTCTTATTCTTATTCAAATCAGATCAGATCACACCAGATGAGATCAAATCAAATCAAATCAGATTCAATAGAATTATTATTATTATTATTATTATTATTATTATTATTATTATTATTATTATTATTATTATTATTATTATTATTATTATTATTATTATTCTTAAAAATGGGATAAACTTTAGAAACAAGTTAAATTGAAAACTGAGAGAGTAATCCTTAATTATTAGACGTCAGAAAAATTATTTTTAAAATACATTGACAATATCAATCTAATTATACTTTTAAAATACATTTTTATTGCTACCTGTAATTTGCGTTTCTAAAGTTTTGATGTTTTATAAGGATGAGATATTTTAATAAAAATACTATCTCTTCTATATATTGATTATCTAAATTTAATTACTTTTTAATGTATATATGAATTAAATATTTATTCTAATGTATATATAATGTAATTATTAAAATATTAAATTAATATTCTAATTTCACAAAAAAAATCATAAAATAAAAAAGATTAATACATTATAATATGAATGATTATTGTAATATACTACTTCCGTCCTAAAAAGATTTACACGTTTTGACTAAAGTTGAACTTAAGGGAGGGATAATTTTGTGTTGACTTTCCAAAAATACCCTTGATGTGATGGGTAAAAGTAGGATGTGATGCGTAGATTATTAGGAAAAAGGTATGATGTGATAGGTAGGGTTTGAAAAAGTAAGGGGTAAAAGTGGTTTTTTAATAGAAATGGGTAGGAGATTGTGAGACGCAATTTTTTTGAAAGGTGTAAATCTTTTTGGGACGGAGGGAGTATGAATTAACTAATTTTATTTATTAAAAAATAATCATAAAAAAATATTGATTATATTATAATACGAATTATCATTACAATTTTCAAACATTATTATGAAGTCAAATCAAATTATTGATTTGAATTTTAAATCAAATCATAATTAATCAGATTAGACCAGATCCGATCTAATCAGATAAATCAGATAGGATCCAATCAAATCAGATCCAATCAGATCACACCAGATTAGATCAGAACTACAAAAAATCAGATCAGATCACAAAAAATAAGTTGAACAAAACGGAGCCTAACTTGATTCACATTTTCTATATATAGAGACTAATTTGACTCAAATGAACTTAAATGGATCAAATTGAGTCGTGAGTAAACTTAGAGAGACCAAAATGACTATTAACTCTTAAAAAAGTGGAAAAGAAAGGAGGTTGAAGGAATCCACACCTCTGAAAGGAGATGAAATGAATGGAAAAAGAAATGATGTGATTGAGTTGAAATGAAATGATATAAGGATGGAAGTGATCACACCCTTTAGTTTAACCAAAGGGAGGGGCTCCTTCCCCATCCCATCTCCTTCCCTCTCATTCATTCTTTCCCCTCCCCTCTTTCAACCAAACATACATTTAGACAAGATGTCAAATGATAGAATAATTTATCCAATAGACATTCTGATTACTTTTGTTCTTTAGATTGGAGGATGGGCTGAAACATTTGGAAAACTACGAGAAGGGAAAAACGCTACATACTTGACCTTTGCTACAGTAAAAGGTGGATCTCATTTTGCTCCATCCACATCTCCGTCCGAAGTTTTTGCACTTTTCAAATCTTTCCTAAGGGGATCTCCTCCATAACTGGCGCGCGACTTACTAATTGATACCTTCATAATACTCGGGGTACATATTTGCAAGTTTGTGGAAAATTACACACTTCTTATGTCCCAATAAACACTTTAGAGTTTGACTTTTGTAGTCAAATTCATACACACTTTGATCATTTATAAATGTATTTTAAATAAATATAATAAAAATTGTATACATTTAAACCATATAGTAAGTAAATACAATTATATTAAATTTATATGATTACTAAATATATGTTTATAATAATTTATAGCCAAATTATGTATCAAATGATAATTGGGGCCGGGAGTATAATATAAAGATGAATAATTGAACCAAAACTTGGATTAAAATTTAACCAAACTTAAATCGTCCAATTGCGGGGGAGGGAAGTCGTGAGGGGCAAGGTCGAGTGGGGGTTTGGAGGGAGTTTATGAGGTGTAAGAACATTAATTTTACGAAAGGGGCATCGTAAGTACTGTGATAAAATTGGTATAACGAGCATACACTATTTGAATTAGTGTGACTCTATAATTCCTCTTATTATAAATTTACACATAAATGATATTGTTAAGTTGTGTAATCTTCTTGAGATGAACAAAATCCCGAGTATTCCGTATTATTTTGATTATTTTAACGAAGCAATGTAATGAAATATTGTCGACGAGTGATTCTATGGTGCACCTTGAGTGCATACCATTATATTTTTGTGGACTTTCTCACATAATTTTTTTTATTTTTATAATTTTAAAAAAAAATGCTTATTAAGTAGTAAATAAATACTTATTTTTTTCATATGTAGGTCTATGGTGGATCTTAGATCCACCAACCTTAGGTCCACCATAGAATTTGCCATTGTCACATATTTTTATGTTTGAATAACACCAATTTTAGCTAGCAAAGTAGAGTTGATGTGATTTTCAGTTTGGATGTAATCCTGTTTCAATTTTTTAAAAGAGTAAATTCCATAAAAGGTCCCTAGTTATAGGTCGCTTTACATATTTAGTCTCTACATATCAAATATTACTAATTTAGTCTCCAATTATTATATCATTTTTCACGAATGGTCCTTTGTTAACGTTTTTGTTAAGAACATGGATAAAGTTGTTTATTTATACTTCTCTCTCTCCTCAATTCAGCTTCCTCCCTCTTATTGTACTCTTTTCCGAACTCGTCGCTGAGTTTGAAGCTCTAACCCAAAACTGAAATGATCATTCCTCTCTCAATTATTAGTCTTCCTGGTAGAACCTAAAATCAAAACCAATAAGCTTTATGGATGAGTTTTATCGGTTAGTCTCAAAAAATTGCAAATAAAGAAAATAAACATTAAACACAGCGACAGGTTTGGGAAACAATTGAGAGAAGAGTGATAATTTCGGTTTTGGGTTCAAAGCTTCAAACACAGCGACGGGTTTGGGAAAGGAGTGTGAGGGGAGGGAGGAAGCTTAATTGAGAAGAGAAAGGAGTGTGAATTTACAATTTTATCCACGTTTTTAACGGAAACGTTAATAAAGGACCATTCGTGGAAATGAATATAATAATTGGGGACTAAAATAGTAATATTTGATGTGTATGGACTAAATATGTCAAACGACCTATAACTGGGGACCTTTTATGGAATTTACACTTTTTAAAACTACTTTAGATTTGAACACACAGCCCCCCACAAAACACTCAAACCAACTACGCTAAGGGCCTGTTCTTTAGGTCTTGAACTCTTAACTTCCAGTTTCTTCCAGTTTTTTTCCAGTTTCTTCCTGTTCCTTCTAGTTTCTTCAAGTTCCTTCCAGTTTCTTCCAGTTTTTTCCAGTTTCTTCCAGTTCCTTCCAGTTTCTTCCAGTTCCTTTCAGTTTCTTCCAACTTTTTTCATTTTTTCTTCAAATTCGTTCTACTCCTCAACCAATTACTCTAAAAATGATATATTTCAATGTGATTATTATTATTATTATTATTATTATTATTATTATTATTACAACTGTTATATATTCATAACTGTAGTTTATAAATTATTTTTTTTCATCTCACTATTTTTACGGTTCACACTTATTATTTTTTTCTTCAACTTTATAATATGAATAAGACATTTTTTTGTATATTAGTCTACATGATAAAACAGGAAAACATCAATATGTTAAATTATTCTAAAAAATTATGGATAAAATAGTTATGTAAACAAAAAAGTTCTATGTCTTAGTTCCAAAAATAGGATTTCAATGAAAATAGAATGTCAATTATGAAAGAAACAACAGGTTTGATTATGTGACATGTATGATATTTAAAACAAAATGTTTTAATATATAAATTATAATTACAAATACATTATTTATAATAAATAATGCAAAAATAAATTGAGGTGCAATATAACTACACAGCCTTTTTAAAACTTTATATATATATATATATATATATATATATATATATATATATATATATATAGAAATTTACCTAAATAGGACTAAAACATAATGACTTTCCCAATATAGGACCATATGTTTTTATTTCTCAATGTAGGACCTTTGGTCATTATGAAGTAGTCATTATTCAAGTAAATGTCCATCATTACTGGACATTATTCCTCCCACTAGGTCATTATTAAGTCATATTTAGAAAATAAAAAAGTTAAAGTCCTATATTAGGAAAGTCATTATGTTTTAGTCCTATTTAGTGCAAATTTCACACACACACAGATATATATATAAGACAATCAGAAATAACTGGTCTTTAGTTACTCAAAAAGATACATTCGGGCATAGGATGTGAAAATATCTGTTTATGAGTGTCTGGAATTTAGCCTTGTAAACAGGGGAGAGTTTTTTTGTATATTGTCCTGAAATAGTGGAAATATAATTTTTCTCTCATATATATTCTTCTTGTGTTTGTTCTTTCATTTTTCTAGTGTTCTCAATATTTTTTGGTATCTTACGCGCTTAAAATTCCAACACAACGTAGTGTTCATTCTGAAACAACGTAGTGTTCATTCTGAAAGAACGTAGTGTTTATTTTGAAACATTTTTTAATTACAAGTTTACCATTATATACGGTACATCCGGCTATATGACATAGAAATATGCCCGGACCCTCAAGTTGGACAAAGTAGAAACTTCACTAGGTCTTTTGCATTAGTTGTTAAGGTGGGAAGAAAACTTAAAAAAACAAAAATTCGATTACCAATAAAAGACAATCAGAAATGCCCTGATAATATTGGTTTTGAAAAGTCATTGGAAACACGCAATCTGTGTGCACTAGAGCAATATTTGGATGTCCAAAGCCAAACCACACATTCTCCGTGTATTGAGTTACTAATTGGACGTATTTCATGCTTTAGTTCATGCTTAAGGTACGGGGCATGTATAAAAATTGTTTCGCTAACAAACTAGAAGGCAATTGAAAATTTAATTTATGGGGAAAATTGTGGTGTTATGGTTCATGTTTTATTGTACTTTGCGTCATATTATCTCAATCACAAATTCAGAGCAAATATACTCTCTTCCTGGACAAACCAAAAATTTTACTTCAAAACAATACTCGGGCTACATTGTAACAAATGATTCCCGTGGAAGATCGTTCTTCTACTATTTTGTGGAGGCGCAGTCAAAACGTTCATCCGCACTTCTCCCTCTTACACTTTGGTTTGGTGGAGGTAAGTTCTTATGTCTTTTGGTTTAACAAAATTTGAGTGGACTTTCAAAATTATTCTTTCTAATAAAGTATTTTTCTAAATCGGTCACGAATAAGCAATAATTGCTTAGGGGTGATATGATAGTTATAATTGAACTTTTTTCCCACGAGTCCTGTGACAAGTAAGGTGATATTATAATTATAAACTTCTTAGGGGTGATTTGGGAAAACATATAATCATAAAAGACTGTTTTGAAAATTTTTCATAGTTCAGACGATAAAAAATATCAATTTATATTACACTTAATATTTATTTGATGGTCATGCTATATTGTGGACCCTATCATATTTTTTGTGCAGGTTGAACCGGGGGTCTCTTGGAAACAGCCTCCCTGCTTACGAGTAGGGGCAAGGTCTGCGTACACACACCCTCCCCAGACCCTACTGTAGTGGGATCCAAGTGGGTTGTTGTTAATATTTATTTGATGGATATCTTTTAGAGAGGACTACTAAGGGATTAATTTTTAATTATGTAGTACCATATAAATAGTTATTGCTTATTGAAAACTGATTTGAAAAAACATCATGTTATAAATGACTATATTGAGAATTTACTCAAAAAAAACTTATAACACCTGAATTCATAAGATGACATTCTTTTGACAATCAGCACATGGGTGTTCCTCCGTTGGCAGAGCTTTGTTCACCGAAAACGGTCCATTTAGGCCAGGAAAAGATGGGAAACTTAAAAGAAATGCATATTCTTGGAACTTGGGTAACATTTTGATTTTTAGCCTCTTTTTCAATGACCGTATGCGTGCGCGCACACATTTGTTTGGAAATTAGATGTATTGAATCGCATAATGATCTGGAAAAAAGCAGAATCAAACATGCTATATGTAGACTCCCCGATTGGAACTGGTTTTTCGTTCTCTAAGACAAGTTCCGATTACAACGGATGGAATCCTACCACGACAGGTAAGAAAATTTCATCATCGGGGTGAACATTTTTTTCAAGCGATAGTTATTCAAGCACAACCCTTGTTTCTAATTCTTTTGACATACTACCACATAGTAAAAGAAAATTTGGAGTTCATCATCAGGTGGTTTCAGAAATATCCCAAATACAAAAACTCAGATTTTTACTTGGGAGGTGACGGTTTAATAGGTAAATGATTTAATCTTGCACCGTATATTCCCTCCAAAAAAAATTACATTTATATTCTTTCAGGTCGAAATCATTTAAATATCTCCAAACAATTGTTTATAGGGCACCTAGCACCACAGCTTGCTGCTTTAGTGCTTGAATACAACGAAAACAATGCCACTCCAATCAAGTTAAAAGGCCTTGTAGTGAGTTTTTTAACATTATAAGCTAATTATACTCAGATGGATGTCCATCTCCACATTAAATAACTTTATACTCTCTCCGTTCTCAAAAAAGGGTTCCTAATTTGACCAATTGTAAAAATAAGGAAGTGTTAAATTATACTCCCTCCATCCCAAAAAGAATGTTACATTTCATTTTTTTCGCGCATCACAAAAAGCACTGCTAGTCACATCTAAAAATTCTAAAATTTACCATATTTACTCTTTATTATAAGATGAAATTGTTTTGAAAGTTTTTTTTGGCATTTGAGACGATATAAAAGTGTTTTAAGGGATGCGCAAAAAATGAAACGTAACATTCTTTTTGGGACGGAGGGAGTAGTTGACTTCCAATTCTACCCTTGATGTGATGGGTAAAAATAAGATGTGATAGATAGATTATTAGAGAAAAAATATGTTGTGATAGGTAAGGTATGAAAAAGTAAGGGTAAAAGTAGTTATTTAATAGAAAGTGAAAGTGTTTTGTTGAAAGTGGAAAAAATGAAAGAAGAATTGTTTCCGAGAACGGAGGGAGTAATTAATATGAAGTATATTACTTGTTTTTATGAACCTTTAATTTTCAGATTGGGAACTTGGGTAGAGGTCCTTATAAATATACGGATGACTACCTATGGTATCATGGAGTCATTTCTCAAGAATTATACACCAACCTAAAGACCGTTTGCAGCTCAGAAAAAGCTTATGATGAGATCCATCGCGGAAATGCATCAAAAGATTGTGAGAAAATTATGTCGGACTTGGACAAGGAGATGGGGGAGGACGTCGATATGGATAGTTTGATTATGCCCATCTGTGTAACCTCAAATTCATCACTAAAACATCATGTAAGTTCACAGTGTCAGTTTGTATTTTTCAAACTTTCAATTTTACACGACGTTTGTGAAAGGCCCTCTGATATGTCATGTGGAAACCAAGGTCACAGACAATCGATTGTCTACACTGACAATCAACTTTGGCATGAGCGAATGCTAAGTCAGGGTGAAAACTCATCTTAAAGGACAATTGATTTTCCATTATTTCCAGGCAACTTAACAAGACTCAAAGACAAGTCTAAGGCCAAACAGATGCCTAAGCCAAAACCCAACATTTCAAAAGCATTTTTGTGAGTTTAAAACCATTTTATGCAAAAGTTATAAAAAAAAAAGGTTGAGGCAAGAGACAAGATAAATGAAGTGTTCATCTTACATTGGTCCTACCAAACGAACTACATCTTTGGGTCTTCTATCTTGAACTCTTGATCACTTCTTTGCTTGTTTTTGCCGTGCTTGAAGGCTTCAACACACTTATTTGTCACTTGACAAAGCTTGAAACCATCATCAGACATTGTTTATCATCAAAACCATGCTCGTCATCTTCACTTCATTGCCACCTAATTATTTGTCATTTATCAAAACCTACACTTAGAAAACATACTAACAAAACCAAAGCACATATAAAAAAATTCCACTACAAGCCTCATGTTCTGCTATCATAGTCTCAATTCCCCTCTCACTTGAACCTCATGACGAACGCGTTGTATCCCAAGGGCAGCCTTAGGACTTGCGAGAGCGGGGTTGACAATGACTAGAGTTATGAAAATTCAGGCAATGTTTGGTCAATTTTTTCATCATGGCATTCAAAATGGTTTTAATCCCCATACGAGGTAGTCTCCACCTCTACATTTATGTGGGGATTCTACACCAGCGTAGTGAGCAACTTCATATAATATTATAAGCTGTTATTAGTGTCAACCCTTCTGCTATTTGTATTTCTCGACTTTCTTCCAATCATTTATCTTAATGAGCATGCTTTAAAGTCTATCCTTTAGCTCTCAATGAAAGCAATAAATGATGGAAATTTTTCCACCAAAAGTAATATGATAATGTAAGAATATAGAAAATTGAAGTTAGATAATGTATCTTGTATACCAAGAGTGTGATCTCTTCTTCAGGGATGGAGTATTTATAGATAAGAGTGGTCAATCAACTATGTCTCACCTTCTACAAAGGTAAGGATATCATGCCCACGCGACTGCCTCCTTCCCATCAAACTGTAGTGCCTACCTCACCCATTACTTTGGCGGTTTCAGCTGCACTTTCGAATCAAATAAACGTGATGCATTTTGTATGGGCTTCACCCTTTAACAAATCATGTGGACTTCGGTGGTCTAAGCCTGGAAACAAATATTAATTATAGAATGGACCTCGCATATTAGGCTTAATTTACTAAACACATTTGGGCCGATCAAATATTCCATCAATATATAATCATAAAATAAAAATAAAAAAATAAGAGTTTTTTTGTGATAGAACTCCGAAAATTGATTTCTCATCAAAGAAGTTTGGTGGTGCGGAGTGCACGCTTCGTTGAGTGTGTTATGATAAAAGTCTCGTCTTAACGAGGGTTCCAAGGGGCCCCTTGGCGGGGATTTGGGGGCAGCGCCCCCGAGCAGGTTCAAGGGGCGGCAGCTCCTGCAAGGTCTCTGCCCCTGGGTGGGGTCGAAAATTTTTTATTTTGGACAAAGTGCTATGTTAAAAATTCATTCAAATTTTTAATTTTCGAATTTTCTTAAAGGAAAATTTCGAAATAAATGATAAGCACCGTTTTCTCAAGAATAGCGCAAAGAGACGCGCGTTTTGGACGAGAGACACGACCGTAGGCTTCTTCCCTTCCGCGGTTCTATAAAATCCACCGATCCTTGGTCGCCAAAGTGTAGTTCGAAAATTCACAACAAATTCATACTTGTTTTGATGACTTTGAGTTTTATCTGATTGAATTTTGGATTTGATCTCCCAGAATATTCAATCTGAAAGTGTTATACACGACTCTCAATTTATCCGTGTTATCTTCTTTATCCCCAAGACCCCAACATTATTTATATCCGACCTCCAACACAATTACTGTATTTTTTATGTCTTGGGGACCGGTGATAGAAATGTGCTTAGTGCTTTCAACATTAAAACATGATATTTTCATGCAAAAGATGCAATTCCCAACGCATGAGACATAAAGTGCCAAAAATAGACCAAAATCAAAACTTAACAATTATGGAGTATATTTAGTTGATTGCCAATAATTTCTACTCAAGTATTTCTACTTGTTGATTGCTAATACTAACTCCGTGCCAAAAAGATTTACACGTTTTGACTAAAGTTGAAATTAAGGGAGAGATAATTTTGTGTTGACTTTCCAAAAATACCCTTGATGTGATGGGTAAAAGTAGGATGTGATGTGTAGATTATTAGGAAAAAGATATAATGTGATAGGTAGGGTTTGAAAAAGTAAGGGGTAAAAGTGGTTTTTTAATGGAAATGGGTAGGAAATTGTGGGACGCAATTTTTTCGAAAGGTGTAAATCTTTTTGGGACGGAGGGAGTAATTTTTTAACTAAAATTTGTTCAATTGTGCAGGCTGCTAGTGAAGACATCATTGGTGATCTGTGCCTCTTTGATAACACTATGGTCTATTTAAATAGGCCAGAAGTTCAAAAAGCTTTACATATCAACAACATTCGAATGCCATACCATTGGGATGAATGCAGAGGGTATCTTTTTTATCAACTTCAATTCATTATTATTGTGCTAGGAGAACTAACAAATTTATTGTGTGCTAAAAATGTAAAATAAACAGACCTTAAAAAGTGCAGGCCTATCAAGACTCCCTTGCCTATGAAGGACCCATATAGTACTAAAAACATTCATGCTCTCTCAGCACTTCTAGCGAGACATATCCGAATCTTGCTTTACAGGTGATTAATTCTGAATATATATATCTATTAAAGGCACTATCAAATACTCCCTCTGTCCCATAAAGATAGGGACGGTTTGACTAAAGTGGTAATATAAGGAGGGATAATTTTGTGTTGACTTTCCAAAAATACCCTTGATGTGATGGGTAAAAGTAGCATGTGATGTGTAGATTATTAGGAAAAAGGTATGATGTGATAGGTAGGGTATGAAAAAGTAAGGCATAAAAGTGGTTTTTTAATAGAAATGGGAATGACTTTAAGGGACGCAATTTTTTTGAAACGGGAATGACTTTATGGGACGGAGGGAGTATGTACAAAAAACCATCATTGATGATCAAAGTATATTTGATGCTTAGATTGTTTGATATATAGATATGTAAAATTCGATCCTTTGCAGATCATATAAATGACTTTAACATGATCGTCAGTACTTTCCTCAAAAAAGAACATGATCGTCAATATTAAAGTGTTGATTTTGATGTCATCTTTACAAGAGTCTTGGGATACTGTTGTTGCGATTAGTAGTTCCCGTGGATCTAAGAAACTAAAGTCTGATGAAATCCAAGATGTTCTCAGCAAAAGTATCACGAATTAGAAATTGTGGATTCACCGGGTAGCGCTTTTAGCATAGACTACGAAGTGGGAGAAGTAGATCGAAGAGACAAAACTAACATGGCTGATCAAAATCAATGAACCAAGGGAAATCTCCAAAAAGACTAAATGTAGCCTTCTTAAATTGTGGTGATATGAGGACACTTTCAGACAAACTATAAAAAACCAAAGAATAAGCAGAATCACAAACTTGGAGATGATAATAAATATTTAAATTCAACAGAAGACATTGGGGATGCTCTAATCCTTAGTGTGGACAGCCGGGTTGAATCCCAGATTCCTAGATTTTGGATTCTTGTCCATCTTTGAGCAAGAAATTATTTCAAAATTTCAAATATGGAAACTTTAGATAGGCATATTTCAATGATAATAAAGCCTCAAAGATTGAAGGAAAAGGGATTGTTTGACTAGAAGTTCCAACAGGAAGACATTGGAGGATGTCAGATATCTTCCTTGTCTCAAATCTGTTAGATAGCACAGACTTTGCAGTAAAGTTTGAGAAGAGTCCATGGAAGATTTTGAAGGGTGCTACTCTTGCAGCACATGGCACAAAATCTAGAACTTTGCACACCACTGCATGGTGCATAAACATAGCTGTTGTTACCGAGGGTGCTTCAGGTTCAAGTCTATGGCACAACAGGCATGGACACATGAGTGCTGAAGGAATAAAGACGCTGATTGCAAAAAAAAAAGCTTTAAAGGGACTAGAATTTGTTGATATAGGTCTTTTTGAGAGATGTGTTACGGGCGAACAAAAAAGAGTTAGTTTCATGAAGGTTGCCCGAGAGCTAAAGAAAGTGCGGTTGAAAATAGTCCATACAAATGTTTGGGGATCATGTTCTGCTTCATGACTTGATGGATCCAAATTAAATGTTACATTCATTGATTATTTTAGCAAGAAGGTAGGGGTTTATTTCATGAAACACGAGACAGTTCTGTTTGACAATTCAAGGGGTGGAAAACTAACGTTGAGAATCAACTAGTTTGAAGATCAAAAGCCTGAAGTCTGACATTGGAGGAGAGTATGACAAGTAAGAATTCAAAACATTCTATGATGAGGAATCATATTGATGAGGACAATTCTCAGAAAGGAAAGGCGAAATGGAGTTTCTATGGGAATGAAACATAACATTGAATGAGCGTGGAAACAATGTGAACTTCCTAATCTGTCCTGGCCTCCTGGGCAGATGCTGTAAGCATAGCTGCATACTTGATCAATAGGAGACCGTAAGCATTGGGGGGTCTATGCTAAGTGTACCGGGCGCACCCGCCCCAGTCAAATTATATTTTGTTTAAATATATAGTGTAAAAAAATAAAAACTTCAAATAAACTAAGTGTGTGCCCCCGGTGAAAAATATTATTTGCCCCCAGTCAAAAACAAAAATATAGTCCAAAAGAAAAAATAACTTTTTAAATAGAATATAAAAGTAAAATATATGAAATATCATATTTTTATTAATTTATGATATATTTCTTATTATATTTTTATACTTTTAAAGTAATTTGTTTTACTTATTTGAGTACTTGTATGATATAAAATTCACTTATTTTTCATCATTTAAAATTTACATTTAAAAAAAGTTGGGGCCACTGCCCTTGAACCCCGCCCTACCAATTACTATAATGATGCCCCCGGTCATATATTTTTACCATAAGTCCCTATGGGTTCAAGACTCTAGGTACGGTCTGGAAAAGAACATAAGTCCTCTCACTCTAGAAGTTTTGGTATTTGTACTTATGTTCAAGTTTATCTAGAGAAGAAAGACAAGCTTCATGCTAAGGTTATGAAATGCTACTACATAGACTACACTTACATAAGTAGATACAAGTTTTGGGATGACAAAAACAGAAAGATCCTAAAACATTGTGATATGACATTTGATGAAAATATCTTATGCATAAAAAACATGAAGAAGGATCGAGAGACTACAAAGCAAGTAAGAGTTAATGTTGAGTTCAAGAAATTGATAACTCAATGCAGGAAGATCATATAATGAGAATTGATCTTTGAGGATAAGCTATGGCGGCCCCTCGGTTAGAGAGAGAGAGAGAGAGAGAAAGAATGGTGTAAAGGCTCTTGCTTATTCCAAAAGTGATGATTACAAGACATTAGGAGGTCATTTAAGAGGTTAGAATCTAACTAACTCATCTAACCACTTAACCACTTCCTAACAAATGGTGACATGTCACCCACCTACATAAGAAATGTTCATTCACCCAGTGATGTTGTTGTAGAAACTCAACAAACTTTGGATACTTTTTTTCTAAAGAGAAAGAGGTGGGGAAACTGACATCAGAGGAGGCGAGGAGGAGATCATCTAGAACCATCAAAGCACCAAATAGATTTTCACCTTTATTACAATATTTGTTGTGGACTAGTGAAGGGGAACCAATGTCTTTTGGTGAGGCCTTACAGGTGAAGGATTAAATAAAGTGGGACAACTGTGATAGATAAGATAAGTTCACTTAAGAAGAATAACAAATAGGTGTTGACTACGTTACTGTTAGAAATATCAAACAAAAAGAAGAATAGTGTGGAATAGTGTAATATCTTGATGATATCCTTGATTGGAATCAAATTACCAATCAAGATATTTGATTAACTTCCACTCACTTTCCTTGATTGTCTCCATTAGTAACTTTGTAATATTTATAGACATCATTAGAGATGTATTCAATAAGATGAATATTTGAGCTGTGAATTCATTCTATCATTACTTCTAATATGGTATCAGAGCAATCATTCGATCAAACGATTGAATGAAACGTAGCTTTCATCATCTACCATAAAAAAAAATATAAAAAATGTCTGAACAAACTCCAGAGAGCTCCACCTATACAGGGGAGTCTGACCCAATGAAGCAGCCTGTGAATCTTGCACAAATTTTGGAAATTCTGCAAAATTTCCAAAATTTAGCACCCAAGGCCGAACTTACCGAGAGCTCCTCAAATCAATCGTTAAATTTGGCGGAAAAGCTCAACGATAAGAACTACGCCATTTGGGCGCGCAAGATGAGCTTAGCTCTGGACGGGAGAGGGCGGCTCAAGCACATCACTGCCGCACCTCTCAAAACTGATGATCCCAAATATATCAAGTGGAGGCA